CACAATGAACTTATTTTCAACCTGATTCCATTCTAGCATTCCTGAGAAAACCAGGTTTGTTCAGAAAAACCTGTATGGATTCGCCCATTCACCGGACCGAAACGTGAAAATGATACCGAGAGATAGAACGCGACGAACGCTATCCAATGAAGTAGGCGTGTCGTGACGGGTTTTTCTGAACGAACCTGGTTTTCGGGCTTGATTAGCATTTTCCTCAGGAATGCTACAATGGAATCAGGTTGAAAATAAGTTTATTGTGTAGAGCTCGTCGAGTTACATATACAGGGACGTTTTGGGGCTTAGTCTGATCAATAAGTGAAGCGCGACGGATTTTTCCTAAAATATGGCGTCTTTAAGTGGTGTTTCTGCAGTATTTCAGGTTTTTATCTATGATGGGTAGGTACTAGAAAACAAGTAAATAGTGGAATCGATAGAGCTTGTTGAGATCTATCTTGATCCGATGTTGAATTCAGTTGGCCTGATGAATTGGCGAATCGTATGCCAGCAAAATACTCGAATCCTGACCTAAGTTATCCTACGTATCTATAACTCAGCATATTTACAACTATATTGAGAAGAGATAATAGTAGTTATATTGAAATTATGTAGATTCCTGTTAAAACTAATAGTTCATGCAAGGTAATACAACGTGAGAAAACTTAACAGATATTATTGCAATACATGACATATCTCAGTGATAATATCATTGGGACTTTCCAAATACCAAAGTGTCACCTATCCACATATAGATAGATAAATAGATAGATATGTAAATGGGTAGATAGATGGGTAGGTAGGCAAATAGATAAATGGTTAGATAGTAGGATCACGGTCACGGTAATGGTCACGGTCACACCTGACTGCGACTCGTTTTAAAAAACTCTGAGACCGTCACTAAAAATCGTAGTCGCAGGTGTTATGTGATCAAAGGTTTTACACACACCTTTATCTAAGCCTCGGCGAGTGGTGGCCCGTAGGACCACCCAACGAGTGCCGAGATGTCACGTCTCTCTCATTGAACACGTTCGAATCATGTAGGTCTTCCGTGACCAAAGCTTTTATATATTCATGTACCCATTTATCTATTTACCTACCTACCTGGGTGTGAGTGTGAGGAAAGGCGAATATGCGGGTCTACTTGCACAGGCATACTCCACACCCACAACCACATTTCATTTCGAAAATCTAAATTTTGTAGTTTGCAAAAAACGAAAATATAAGTTTATTCCTAAATTATAAATGGGGGTGAATTCAATTTATAAATTTTGTAGTTTACAAAGAAAAAAAATCTAAATCTATTCCTACATTATAAATGGGCCCATATCCAGGAAAACGGTGCGTAAAATACCGTAAACGGCGTAAAAGCGGGATAACGTTGAAAAACGGCGCCGTTTTCCGCCAGCTCCAAAACGAAGAATATAGCGTTAAAAAAGGTAGTTGTTTTCTAGCAAAAAAACGATCCGTAAAACGAGCTGGCGGATTACGGCGAAATAGGATGAAAATTAATTCCTGATTATAGCATTTTATAGGCGTTTCAGACCTTTTAAGATACTCGTTCAGACTAGGGGCGTGCAGTATCGGCGGCCAGTACATCGACACTGTACATCCCTAGTTCAGATGGTCGGAATGATTCTCCTGGGGAGTGAAGTCAACTTATAAAGTTTGTAATTTATAAAAACCAAATCTTTTTCCGGCGATGGAGTGAAAACATGAAAGTGGTTCTTTTGTTTGATTTATATTCGAAGTCGAATTAGGCAGCTACTCCCGAACGAATACCAATGTTATACAAAAGTTTCTAGGAAAATCCTGAGATAGTTTAATTGAACATCAACCTCCACAACATTCAAAGTAACTTATATTAATCGACTTTGCAAGAATGTCCCAATACGATGCGATAATCCATCCTCATTTAAAGTCTATGCTGTGATATTTTCGATGGTCTATTCATGGCAGACTCTTTAAATTCTCCGTCTCCTCACCCAATTATTTCGCATGACTATTTCATAATAGAATCATGATATTTATATACCGTGTGTCAAAACCAATTTGATGCAACCAACTATGGAAAAATTATCCCTAGATTCATTCTATTATAAAACAAAATATATCTTACTCAAAACTGATCTTTCATTTCCATAAATAAATTTCTAAATTATTCGACTCTAGAGAATGGGTAGAATACACTGTGCAGTTCAATTAAAATCAGGAGTAGCTGCCTAATTCGACTTCGAATATAAATGCAAAAACAGGCATTTTCATGTTTTCCGCAACCCCGGCAGAAGATTTCCTTTTTATAAATCATAAAATTTACAATTCGAATTCGAATTTGACCTAGCTCCCATTTTATAATTAGAAATATATTTAGATTTCTTTCATATGATGCGTTCGTAGAATATCCCCGGAAACTCGATTAAGTGCTGGGGAACTAAACCTAACAGATATAACAGATATAGAGATATACAGCCTATAGGGGTCTAGGGAGTACAGGAGTTATAGGAGATTGATAAACAACGAGCAACGCTTAAAAAATAAATACTGATNCCGGGGGGGGGAGGCTGGGGGGCATAGGAGTTATTGGGGGTTATAGGACATATAGGAGATATAGGAGATCTTTTTTTTCTTTTTCATCTCTTAATTTAATTTAATTATAACTCAACTAAAATAAAAGTTGCTTTCATAGATATTACTGATATCAGTATTTATTTTTTAAGCGTTGCTCGTTGTTTATCAATCTCCTATAACTCCTGTACTCCCTAGACCCCTATAGGCTGTATATCTCTATATCTGTTATATCTGCTAGATTTGGTTCCCTAGCGCTTAATCGAGTTTCCGGGGATATTCTCTGGACTCATCTAATCATTTCCTTTTTATAAATTGTATGATTCATAAAAAGGAAATCTAAATCTATTCCTAAATTATAAATAGGTTGCCAGTTTGACGATCTTTATCTTTTGCTTTGGGATGGTTTTTAAATGGGCGCGATTTTTTTGCATTTATTTTCCAATTGTGAATAATTATTCAGATGTCGATTTATATTCAAAGTCGAACTAGGCATCTCATGCTTTCAATTGATGCCCATGCAACTAATCTTGCTGTTGTTACATAGGTGAATCCATCAATAAATACCCATGTTCGACAAAAGAACGGGGTAAATATCCAGACAACACCATTGAGATAATAATAAAGAATCCAAGGAATTTCAATGATAAGAGCGAGAAAATTTACAATAAGAATAGTAACAATTACAGGATTTTGTAAACTTCGACGAAGTTGTCGATCAAAAAGAAAATGATAGAGAACAAATATCGAACAAAGAATGGATACATCGTTCGATATAAGGTACATCCAAAATTGCCGGATAATTGGAATCGCAACAACTGCCATAATTATCTCGTGAATATTCTGACGGTATTAAGCTAGAAATTCAAATGAGATGAAAATCGAAATTGTCAAAGTATGAGAAATTATGATTTATTATATTTCTCTATTTGAACGAGTTTTATCATACTTTAGAAGTTTCTGACACTAATGTATCATTTTGTCTTCGATAATTAAGCTTAGACACCTACATCTGCAACCTCCAGAAATGGGTAAAGAGAACAAAACAAAACAAACTCTGTAAATGCTCTCTAAACGAATTTTAATGTTGGGCTCGATGTTGTAGACGCAACTCAACAGAAAGAGGCAATACTTAGGTATTCTAAAGTACAATTTAAAAGTATGAAAATGTAGCACTTTACTCGTAATTCAGAGAATTACAATGGCAAAGTTTCTTTTATTAGATTAATAAAAAAATTCTTTCCTATTAAGCTTGAATGAAAATTCTTACCAATTCGTACTCGTTTGTTTATTGTTGATTATAATGGTAATCGTAAGCTTCGTGAGAATTTCTTTGCGAATGATCTTACCTTCCGTATAAGATTAAATGAGCATGGATCACAAATTGTAAAGATCTACTGTTTTTATAGATATCAAAACAGAAAGAGAAGCATATAAAAGCATGCAAAGAATAATTAAATTGGCATAAAGATGGTTTTTTTCTTCAATTTTATTCGGATATATTGATACTCATGAATGAATTTGAAAAAAATAATAATTTTAATATTAAAATTTAATAATTCTAAAAATATTTTTTTAATACTCTATGAGCTGTTCAAGAATAAAATTCAGCCACGTACATGACAACAACAATAACAAGAAAAAATGAGCTGGAAATCTTATTTTTCTAAATTGTCTCATTCAAGAGAATTTCTTTCCAAGAATTACGTATAGCATTAGGATAAAACTTCATGTATTTGTGTGCTAGACAACAAGAACCAATGGAAATAAGACAATGCAGAGCAAAAATATAATTCTAAACACAGTTATTGATCATTTTGTCCAAATAAAAGATCTGTAAAAATACGTTATAAGCAATAAATAACGACTCTATCATATATACATCAAGTTGAAAGAAGATGTGCATCGTAGATATATCACTTTGTGTAAATACAATTACTCATGCACAAGTTACTATTGGTACAAAGATTTATTGTTTAATAGGTTTCTGCATAAATAGAAACATTGTATACTAATAAGTGAGTGTCATGCGTTCCTTGTTTAGTGTTACTGTTTAATCTCACAAGGCCAGAAACGATCAATTATCAAATTACAGAGAAACTGGAAAATTGTAAAAGGAAAAAATAAGTCATTTCGAATCTGAAAAAAGTCAATTTCTATTTGAATAGTGTAAGCAGAGGCTTCTGGTTTTTCATGAAGTAAATATACATTCGAGAAGAGATTATATGGATTAACTTTCGTCATGAGAATAAAATAGATAAATGGTATTAATTTAGATCTATTTGTAATAGCAAAAGATATCGCTACAAATGAGTCTATAGAATATTTTTAATTATTGGGAACAATATAATGATCTCGTTACCTGCCGCTAGACCTAGAACGATCAACATAGATTTATCAAACTTTGATGCTAAATGAAATTGTCACATCAAACGAGATGCAACTAATTCACTGTTTTATATGTGTGTTGCGAGATGTTGTTTACGCTTTCATGCAAGTACATGATATAATTGATGTGACAATCAACCGACGTCTTTACGACGAATCGTATACATATTTGAACCGCGTATTTTCTGAAATAAGATGCGCCAGAAATGATCGAATCTAATTGAAAAAAAGATTTTTCATGAACAATACTCGACTAGGGGGCCACTTTAACTTTACTTTAACTGTAAAGTTTAAAGTTGTTTAAAGTCGTCTTTAAACGCTTCTTTTTAATACTTTTTATCGTACTGACGTATTTAGTCATGCTTCTGAGACTCTCTGCAACAGATAAAACGCCAAAAATAAGCATTTAAGTGTGACTTTAAACTCTACATTTTACTGCCAATTTAAAGTTAAAGCACCACCCCCTATACTCGGCTGATAAATGTCACTATCAGAAAGCACATGTTCCATGAATTCTACTCATTTACGTGTATTATCATCCTCAAAATGCTCTGAAATTTTCATTGAAAATGAATGCTTTGGATACAATATCTCAGTAAGAGAACAACCACTTTCACTAAGTAATCAGAGGGTGTGGAGTATGAATTTGGCTGTTAATTATGTTACTATGAAAATGCAACCATAGCCACACATCATTGTATTAATTAGCTAGTTATTCATCTCTTTGAGATTTTAAATTAAATTATATAGTACTCAAATCGCTTTTCTGTTCGACGTAATTGTAAATGTTATTCGAAAGTTTTTTTTTATAGATATTTCTGAAATAGACGATTCGATTATGATGGATTAGTAGAACTGAATATACTTGATGGTGAATTAATGTCGATACTAACCTTGTTAGAAATGCATCATGATAGCTTGGCTTCTGGTTATATATAACAAAATTCAAAGATGAAACCGGTACCACTTACTGACCGGTTCCGGTACTGATTTCAGACTGGTTGATTTGTCAGTAGACTATTTGATAACCGTTCTATCTTTTTTCTTTCTTTAGTTTATTATGTATAAATATTTGAATTCGTTGTTCGTAAAGGTATACAATGGTTTATAGATAATTTTTTTCTAGTATAGAGGAATAATAGATCGATTCGCTAGCTGTAGATTTACTATTCAGTACCAGTATATCAGTTGGTATCGATAGATCAACCGATACGGTATAAACTTTTCAGACCACTATCGATATTGATCGCTAAAAATTCAGATAGGTTCCATCTCTGGTAAACACACTCTTATCAGCAACCAAAACACAAAGACCAGCATGCTCATCCCCACTCTCAGCTGTATGATTGGACTTTGTCAGAGATCTAGTTACAACGATTTCAAAGATCTAATCATGCCAGCCTTATAAATCTATGCTTGTGTTCAATAATTTGTTTTGCTGAAATCTGACTTCTATTTGCAGCTCTGAAACTAGTGTATGTGTAGTGATATTTCTTGTATCAGTACATCCAACTACACCAGTCAACATTTTGGTGGTACTTAATATCTCATCAGATGAATTCAGGCGATTCTTTTCATATATGCATTTCAATGCTTTCAAGACATCTAACGAATCTCGATATTTCTCTCAAATCTTTAATTTCATAGGTCAGATAGTTCAAACAACGTCGACATATTGTGAATACATGTTTCATGTACTGAAGGTACGTCTGCTCTCAGATGTCTTCGTCAGTAAAACTATTGTTCACAATACCGATTTTGTGATTTAAGCAACGCTTTTCTTCTTGATAGTTATTATAGAACCGTTCAATTATTCAAGGATATGTATTTCGTTCATAGAATTTTGATATAAATACAGAAGTCTCGCAAAGACATATGAAGAAAGAAATTTATAAAAGACAACAAAAATGAGTAAAAGCAAAGATCTGACTCGCTTCATCGAGGTGAACACACATACAGACAGATGAAACATCAACAAAACTAAGATCAATTAAAAATATTCTCCTAACTAAAAGGTATCACCATCGGCTTGATTGGAAACAGTCTGCCTAACTGTGGAGGATGACTGTTCGACAGATTGATTTACTTTTACTGTTACTGCTACTACTTGATGACGTTCCTTTGCTGCGAGTCATTGACACTGAGTATTTTAAAACTTCTTAGCATACTCCTAAAGTTTATGACCATTAACATTTCATGTATCATTGGATGTGCTGAGTCATGATGAAGTTTCTGGCTTATAGAAGTATTCGTCCGACTCTTAAATTATTCGAAATACAAAGTTGCTGCCAATTTTTGTTTTGTTTTTACCCATCCAATAAACAAAAGCTCAGTGACTCCAATAGTCAGCACTGTTTTGTTCTTTGGTTGTAAGAAGTTGATGCTGCTAATGAGCCTTCACCACTAGGATTCGGTAAAACGGTTGGTTGATACTTATCTGTAACCTATAATCAACAATAAAACAACACGAGTTCAGTGTTGTTGTCTTCGTACATGCATGAAATGTTATACAGTAACTGGACCATTATCTGAAAGTAAGTCTTATTTGCTTGGAAAGTTCCGCCTTTTAAAATCGTCCTATGGAATATCGTCGAGTACTAAATATCGATCATCTTCACCCCAAGTGCTTGAGCTCTATCGACTTTTGAAGTAACAAAATTGAACAGGTAATGAAAGCTAGAAAAATGGTTTGCCTAAATCACACGCTAAATAAACAATATATAAAACTGATCATGTTCTTTGTCTTTGAATCTATCATACCTGTATCCATTGGTGGATTCGGATTTCGAAAATTTGCTTCGATTTATTTTGTAATCATATCATCCATGTATATATACAATTTAAACAAGCATTAAAAATGAGAGATAAAATCATGTTTAATAATTTCAAATTCATATGGAGCCGTAGTGAACAGTTCGGAAAAGATAAATCACAAATGAATTATTTTTTTAATACATCGCTGCTGTTGTTGAGTTCGTTTATAGAATAATTAAACGACCTTTGACAACTGTAAATAAGCCAGAAATAGATATAGAAGGTGCTTTTAATGGAAAATACTAAAAGAACGGAAACATTTAACTAACTTCTCACTACATTGAACAAAGTTCATAAGGTAATTCCTTGCGAACATATTGGAGTGCCTGTGTAACTTTATTTTAGACAATGGTGAGTCCTGTGTTGTTGGGAACAGCCATATGAATTGCGGAATTCAATAAATTCAATGTAGTCTCCATCTATAAAAAAAACAAATCCGCACGTTGTACAATTATTGTTCGATACATTATTTCCTTTTTGTTTTTGCTTCTCATCTTGTGAATTCAACTAGCTTAGCTAAAGAAATTATCAGTTTGAGGGGTGTGTGATCCCAATTCTACACAGCATATTTTCTTCTTGTCTCTCGTTTATATATTTTACTTTTCTTTGGAAATCCTTCTAATGATTCCCATGAAATACTTAAAAAATGATATTACCTTTTCTGATGTATGCATTCCAAATACAGCTATTTTTCGTTACTTGGTAATTACAATGAACGCCTATATCAAATACAAATAATTCTTAAACATCAAAAATATGTGTTACGATGAGATATAACAGTATATTTTTCTGAAACCTAACTGATTTTGTGAGCTGTCCTCTTGACAATAATTTTCATATGAAGATGGGGATTTAATTTTTCACCACTAGCCTGCCTCATCATACAGACGTATTTAACAATCCTGTTACATTTATATATTTCTTCTTTCGTTCTGTCTGTATATATATATATATATTGGAGAGGAATACAATTCAGTTGAATTTTAAATTCTACTAGACGATTATGTATGATGGAATTAATGTCATCTATAATAGAAAATAAAATAAATGTTGATATGAATGGTGCAATATGTAGAAAGGAAAGAGAAAAAGAAAGATTTTGAATATTTAAATTGAACGTACGTCCCGTCATAATATCAAAGGAAAAATATATAATAGTATAACAATGGAACTGTTTTATTCTAAACTTGATAAGCACATAGAATCTTTGGATGAAAAATTTCGTTCAAAGTTTGCTATTAGGCGAGCAGTTTACAATGACATTATATTGGTACTAAAAGATGGTTGTGGCAAGTCTTCTTTTAAATTTTGGGTTCATAAACATTTTAAGATAGTCACAATTGGAGAATTACAAGTTGTTTATGGGATTAAATCGAATAATCCAGTGATAACGTATGAACAACTATATGTAACAATAAAATAATGTCATGAAAGAGTAGGACAGCATGCCCGCGATAAAACTTGGAAAGAGGTAGTATTCGGTACTGAAATCTGTGGAACTAAAATCATAGTTTTATATTTAATTAAGATAAAACAACAAGGGATTCAATTGAGTGGTGGAAACTTGTTCTTGTAATGGCAGTTGTGCTACAAAAAAATGTTCCTACAAGGCAGCTAAAGTACCATGTAGTACAAAATGTAATCCTGCTAAAAAGAAATCTTGTTCTAATATATAAACGTAAACTCGTTGATACACTAAATGATCTGCAATGCTGTCTGCTTTACAAATAAATAGTTCATATCCTGCTGTAGATCCGCATTTATATCAACATTTATTTTATTTTCTATTATAGATGACATTAATTCCATCATACATAATTGTCTAGTAGAATTTAAAATTTTAATATCTACTCCGACATATATATATATATATATATATATATAACAAGAATGAGAAGAGAAAATACCAATATTGATTAAAGAAAATAAGAGAGAAGAAAATTACGTGAAGTTGATTGCTGAAGATGGCAGTCGTGTGAGTGTGTATGAAGAGAAAGCTTTCCTCCGCATCCATAGACAATCTTTTTTCAATTAAGAATCATTAATATCCTGTCAGAATTTAGTTTATTCTTCTTCCGTCATTCTACTGTCAAATGTGCTGATGACTATCAAGAAGCTGGACCATTACTTCGAGTTCACCAAAAGCAAATATCTCCCAGGTCGACTGATCCGACATTGGATCCGATAGGAACCTGGAAATATCCTACAATCCGATTCAATTCTATTGGGTTCCGGGTCGAGGAATCGATGTCGGATCCTCAGTGTCGGATTTCTATGAATTCCAAAGAAAAACCGTTGTATGTCATCGGAAGTTCATAGGATTCCGACACTGAGGATCCGACATCAATTCCTCGACCAGGAATCCAACGATAATTCTGTAAGATCGGGCAGGATCCGATAAAATCCTATTGGATTCCAGTCGGATCGGATGGGTTCCGATAGGTGCCTACTGTCGGACTGCTCGACCTCGGCTATGGATTAGTTTAGTGTGATTTCAAGGGGAAGTGAGACTTACGTACTCCCGTAAGTCAAGTGTATTTTGATGTACTTCAAAATAATTTTGAAGTATGAGAGTTTCGCGTTTTCCTTGTGTTATTTTCTTATTCTTGGAGCAGCCATCTCGACTATTAAATGATACTCTTACAAAACAATCGATGGTAAATGAAAATGAAAGCTAAATTTACAGTGAAAAGGATTTTACCAGAATTTCCTGTTCTGCATGGTTATTTTCAATGTGTCTATTTGGCTAATCGATCGAGTGACGAATTTAAAATCAATGTTGTATCGGACTTCGTATGTTTTGATGCACAAAACTGCCCTATATTATTATCTAGAATACTTCCAATTGTAATAGTCAATGATCGCACATATTGCCGCGTTTTTGATCTCTTGCCAGAATATAGCATGGAACATTTTTATCAGTTGACTGCATTTTTCTCACTTTTCTATTATCAACGTTCAACTAGCAGTAATGCAATGTCATGTGAAAACTCAACTTATTTTCATTGTAATCAATCTTTAAAATGAATTTCATATCGTGTTGGTGATGGATTCGTAGATTGTTATTATAGTGAAGATGAATATTTTTCTACATGTCATTTGAACGTCTTAAATCGATTTATATGTAAGTCGGAGCCAACGAAGTGTTTATCACCTGTAGCGATTGGAAATGGACTTGATGATTGTCCACAAGGAGAAGATGAAGCAGCTGAGAGTATATATATATATGAGATTGAGCGACATATACTATTTCCGATTATACTCTGTGATGAATACTCACATAGTTCAGAAGCAGATAAACATGAAACTGGTGAAGGGAGCTGCGAGAGGCGGCCATGTGATAATACATATTCACATTGTGATATGTATTGACATTGTTTTGAATGGTAATGATGAACTTAATTGCCCCACTATGAGTTGCTTATTGAATGAATTTCAATGCAAAAATACCGATTTAAGTTTAACTTATTGTTTGTAATCATCTCACATGTCCCATGAGCGAAAATTGGATTGTAATACTGGTAATTGATTTATTCAACAACTCTATTTCGGCAATAGAACACATTATATTAACAACTCTTATTGCTCATTTAACAAATCCAACTGTATCACAAAAGACAACATTTGCGACGGTCATTTGGAACCAGTTAATGTACAAGAAGACGTATGCCTTAAGAAGGAGACAATTAAGTTGTCAATCAGTGCGGTTAGTAGAGTAAGCATCATCGACAACAATCATACATACATATGTACTCTTCAACATGTCAAACCAAAAACTACTAGGAGTACTGATAACTACTTGTAGAGCCCGTCGGGTCCAAAATTTTCAGACCCGGGCCCGATTAAATGTAAATTCTTAGACCTGAACGCGGACCCGGGCCCGATCGACTCTACATTGAATTTGTTAATATTTTGTTTTTCAACATTATATATATATATATATCCAAGAATATTGTCTTTTATGTTTTAATCTTAATGTAAAAAATATCAAATGTTTATCCATTTTCTAGTCAGTTTCACGAGCAAAAAGTAGAATTTTTCAGTGATATATTTTCTTGAAAGATTTTTCGAAGTAAGTTACGACTACAGGTATAAAACTTTTGAAAACTGTTCTTGAACACACACTAACGTCGTCAAAATTGCCTACAGTTCATTAATATGAATGTGGGTGTGCGGCACATGTTTAATTTAGCAGCCATTATGGCGATTTGTCCCGGTTAAAGAACTCGCCGGATGGCTTAGATTTTATATAAAATCTGTTTACAATGATGACATATGGCGATAAATAATTATCTTGTGTTGTATGCATTGAATTGAAGACCTAAATATTCGAACCACATACCGATGCTGATTGGACCATCGGTTTACACCTCTAGCCATACTCACACACTCAGACCATTCTTTCTGAAAAACCAAGTGCAAAAGAAAAAACTTTCATATTTAAGCTGTCTCTTTTACTAAATACTCTCCAAGTACAGTCCTACTGGCGACAAATGGAATGCCGAGATATCTTAGTTTTACGCTTGGCTAAAACTATATATTAAGGAGCAATCATTTTATACATGTCTTTTCTTCATTCTTTTCACAAAAACAAGAAATCACGTATTCATCGAACAGTATATTTTATCAAGCTATCGAAAGATAAGTTTTTTCCATATTTGGCATAGATAACAACATCTTTTGATCCGACTTGGATTTCTCTCTGCAGAATTGAACCTCTATAGCCTTCATTGTTGAGCAATTGTGAATCAACAGTCAAATTGACACTTTTAGCACCTGGGATGGCACAATGAATTGGAACAATAGAACCTTTCTTTAATATTCCCTCTATTGGTGTATAGATTTGGCATTTTTCTATTTGAAATTTATTGTAAGTCATAGGAAATTTCATTGGCCGTTGAAGTTTCCTAACATCAAGATTGAATTTGACTACTGCATTTAATGAGGATTCTTTATCAGTAATTTTTCTCGCATATACATTGAGTTCATGTCGGCCTGTTCGTTCAGGTGCAAATAGAAGTTGCCAAAGTTTTTTTTCCTTATTGAATTGAGCTAATGAACCATTTTCAATTTCAACATTATCATATTTGATATTACAAGAAAGTTGAATAACGTCAGGTGCTTGCATAAGAATTTCAGTGTAAGATGCATTGCCAGAACAAATGGCGCTTGAACGATTTCGTGGTGCTTCAATTTTAAGATCAAGATCATGAAATAGCTGCCACGTGAAAGGATATGATATGGGTGGTGATGGAATGAATTTAGCTTCAATTTTAAATGCAACAACAGATGTATAAGTGTCAGGATCAGTTTTTCGCTTAGCCATAATAAGTGCTTCGAAAAGACCATGTCGATCAGGTGCAAATTTGCATCGCCATATATTTTTCTGACGATCATAATAAACCTGTTGTCCACCCATAACTTCTTGCTTTCGTTCATTCTGAAGATGTCCGCGAAGTTCAACATTTGTGGGTGATTTTATTAGAATTTCTAACTGCTTATCTCCATTATCAAGTTTAATTAGATATGCATCTCGAGGAGAGATCACTTCTAAATCGAATTCAGAAAAGTTCTTCCATACTTTTGGAAAACTAATTGAATTTTGTGGCATTTGTTTCACATCAAGTACAAAGTCCAATATAGATCTGTATTCGCCTGCAGCTGAATTACCTCTTTTCCCATAGAGATAAATTTTATATTTACCAGTTTTTATCGGTGCAAAATAACAACGAGACATCTGTTGACGTTTGTCGAACGTAATATAACTGCCACCATCAATAACTTGATCGTTTAATTTTAAATCTGCCATAAGATGAACATCTGACGGCACTTTCAAAAATACTAGAGCATATGATTTGCCAGGAATAAGATCGAGATGAGATTGATTACGTGGACTAACTAATTCAATATTTAAATCAAAGTAAAGAGGATGAAAGTGAGGCATTTCTAAATATTGTGTCATGTTAATTGGAGTTTGCAATAATTGCCATTTATTATCATCAGGTAAATGATGACAGATCATTTCGTTAGGACGTGGGAAAAAATAATATAAATTTGGTTCGTGTTGAAAAATACTCTGCTCATTTAAATATCCAGCACCCCATGTTGATTCTATTAAATACCAATGTTGATCAATCTCAACAGCATTCCATGTGTGATCAGTTTCAGTAGGAGCATCTATGCGATTTTCAAATTCATAACCTTTTGCATAGCCACTGATTATCTGACATGAGATTTCTAATTGATCGCACAAATATTTATATAAATTAGCATATCCTGCAGAAACACCTTTTCGTTTTCGAAATACTACTTCCGGTGACTGATCACCACATTTCCCACTAATATATGCTCCTGTATCATATTGAATGTTACGAACAATCCAATAAAATATAATCCAATGGCTGTCAACAATTGATTTTCCTTTGGAAAATGTTTGAATAATGTCAGTAAGTTGTTGCAGAGATGTTGGCTGGCACGATTCGATTGCTGATTGATAAGATCGATTGTCGATGGCTTGTTGACGTTGTTGAACAAACGAATTATTGAATGCTTGTGGATCAGCAACGGGAATTGAAATATGATTTTCTTCACTAGTTAAGTTTACAATGATAGCATCATCATCATCATCAACATCACCGCCGTCATAATTAAGACGTCGTTCTGTTGATCGATGTGCTGCACTAACTTTACTATATTTACAACCCATCTTTCATTTTCACTCAGTAAAAAATGTTTTACTTTTTGTTTGACGTATATATCTCATACTTCTATGTAAGGTTGCGTCCATAATAGAAAAACAACTTACAATTGATGGTAAAGTTAATCTTAAATAATTTGTTATTTTTAGTTGGTAATGCTTTTGAAATAAGGTAAATAGCATTATAAAAAGTAAAACAGCAAGCCGTAAAAAAAGCGTTTTGCATTCAATAGTAAAAGTCATCAGTGTTTTTCTTTCATTAATTGCAAATTTTACAAGATGGTTTCTTTTCGTAAATTACATCTACAATTAGTAGAGTCAATAATGAGAGCAAATGTGATTTTTTTGAAACACATGGGAAAAAAAAATTGTCAATGCAGCTTGAGGGTATGGGTATGAATTCTAGAAATAGGATTTTTAAGAAATTGCTCCACAGGAAATCATGTACGAAAAAATCATTATCAGTAAACTAATTGAATTGAAAATTCTCGAATTGATTGGTATTTCAGCAAGTGAGTTATTTCTATTGGCATATTTGATTATTATTTGCCATTTCAATATGATTGCTATACATGACGATAGAGGGATGATCGGAAGGTAAAATACCGAGAACTAAATCAAAGGCTGATTTAAAAGTCTCCAAAGCTTGAGTGTATAATCCAAAATGAAATTGAATTAATCCGACATTGTCCATTGCCAGTGCTAATGCACATTTGTCGACAGCTGGCATTTCTAGCATGTGAAATTCAATGGATTTCGAATAATATTCCATAGCTTCTGAATATTTGCCAAGATCGGAATAAACAGTTCCAATATTGTTGTAAATAGTCGCTATGGAGTCATTCATTGTATGTTGCTTATAAATGTGTAAAGCTTTTTCGAAATGTATTAATGCTGATTCAAATAATTGTCTATTTAAATAAATCGTCCCAATATTATTATGGCAAGATGCATTTAATACATTTTGATAAATATCACTATGATGAGTTTCGAGAATTTTCAATGCTAATTGAAAATGTTTTAATGCTTCATCATAATTTGTATCTGAAGCATAAGCTGTACCTAAATTACAATGAGATTGTGCTATGTTTCTATGAAATGGTGGCAATGTTGTTGTCCATATTGTATGAGCCTTTTGTTGATATTCTAATGATCGTTCATAATCGCCAAGTTTCCCATAGACTGAAGCAAGATTACTATAAAGTGTTGCAACTGCTGGATGATCCCACTGTACATGTGTAACGATGATTTCAAAAGCTTTGTTATAAAATGTCAACGATTTTACATAATCGTTCAAATTATCGTAGGCTAGAGCCATATTCATAGTGTAAGTAAACAATTGTACATGATTTGCCGGCAAATACTTTTGCGCTAAATCTAAAGCCTTTTTATAACAATTAAAAGCTTCTTTGTAGTTTTGTTTCTCACTATATGCACAACCTAAATTACTGTAGACTGGTGCAAAGTCAATATGATCATTTTCATTTTGCGATTGACGACGAATCTCAATCGATTGATTATACGAATCAATAGCTTCATTGTAAAGGAATTTAGATGCATAAATCAAACCTAGTATATTGTAGACATTTGCTTGATTTGATTTATTCGTTTCTAATTCATTTAATAATAATTTTGAATATTTTTCAGCTCGATCATAGTCACCCATATGCCATAAAATGGTACTGAATATCACCAAATCTGATTCTTGTTTATCAATATCACTTTTCAATGATTGAGATAAGTCTTGTATTGGCAATATCTCCTCTTTTTCTACATGTAATTTTACTAACCAATATAATTTATCATTGAGTTGTTGTTTCTCAACGGTATCAATTCGCAATATCATTCCAATTGACAGCAACACTTCACATTCATCAGGTATTGCACTAACACTGGAAACTTTTGCATACGGATTTGTTAGACACAATTCTGTATTGATTCGAATTTCGAAAAATACTGCATGATTTCCTTCGTAATTCATTGGATCAAGAATAAAATTTAGAGCGATCTGAAGATCGGTACTAGTCGATGTGAATGCATTAAGTGTAATAAGTCCGCCAATATTTGATTTTAAATACTCGATTTCTTCCATAGCCATATACTGGCCGCGATAAACCGACAAAATATCTAATGAACTTGCTAGTTCATGGTTCCTGCAAAAGTCTTAAGGCAATGAAAATCTGAATCGTTTTTCGCTTCATACAGAAGCCACTAAAAAATGGGGGTGAGTGGGTGTGGGTTTTGATGACAAGGAAATCTATATTCGCAACCGCATTCTGACAATAAATTTCTTTCTGTTTTGTATCTATATGCTGTTTGTTTTGAGCACCTCACCCACGATGATAGTACTTGAGTTTAATAAATTCATTATTCTGTGTGTTGGTTCATACTTATTATTCTTCGATAGAATATTATATAAATACTTTACAGCTATTTTTTCATGCTGATTCCGAATATACTATTTGTTTTGTTGTTAGAGTATAAGATAGAATGATAAAAGTAATCAAATATGGGCATATTTTTAATAATTTTGTGTTCTTCACTCGTCAACATTCAGAAAAAATCCACTGATATCAATGACAAAGCAGAGCATAGTGAAGCTGAATATATTCTTTTGAAGCCAAAAATCAATGAATGATTCTACATGAGGTAAATCATTGAGTTCGATGGTTTCTTATGAGAAAATAAACAGGTTTATTTTTATTGCTGATTAGAAATCCTTCGCATCTTGTTGTTAATTCGGATGAACATAGAATTTGTATAATTTTGGTTATGGGTCATACTGAATTAGAGTTATAATACGAGACTATCTTGATTTTTGTCTACATGTTGGCATGTCCAGTTTTGTAGAGAAAATGCTTCTACATCGTTTAAGATCTCCCACAACTCGAACAAATGGATGAAAGCAGAGAAACATCCAAAATACTAAGAGTATTCCTAAAAGATTGATTTTTTTTGAAAAATTATGGAGGGCTGACTTACTTGTACACTCTGATATTTTTCATAGGCAACTGTAGAGGTTTTTAATGATGCTCGGTCATTTGAGATAGTTAAATCGGAAATAAAAAAATTCAGTAGCCACTGACTTTATGAGTGCTCTCGTAGCCCTTTTCTTAAGGGTTGCATAATGTTGCTCGAGTCAAAGTTCTTAATTGGCTTACTTTTGTTGAAGTATTCGTAATTGCGCCACTAGATCAGAAATAATGAATCGAAATTTATAAATTTGATCGATGTTCTTCAATCGAAATGCCTTATTCAATAAGCGATAGACAAAAGTGTCACGAGTGTACCACCAGAGAGCCTTAGATGGGATATACTCTCTTTCGAATTCATCAATTTTTTCAAGTGCGATTGGATTATTCGCATAGGATTGACGGCATTCGTCTAGCATGTCAACTTTTGCTTGTGGTGAATCCATTTTTATTAATGCATATATCAGAATATGAGACCATAAAAATGTAGCCAATTCATGATCAAGACTGTGTACTGATGTTTCCCTGCTACTCGATAATGAATATACGGTCATAGGTACATTACATTGTTCTAAATGACCAACATCATCGGCGATTTTTATATATAGTAGGTTTGAATCGTGATATTTGCCACGAAATCTATTTTGAATATATTTCCTAGATAGAAACAGACAATCTCAGTGTATAGAGATTTCAAAAGATTACAAATTTGATGCGAAAACAGAAGCAAATTTCTGAGTTTGTTTTTAGAAGTCATAGATTAGAGAAAATGTTTGAAGAAAGCAGCAATTTCTCCAGTAATTTTTCTCAGTGAATCTGATATTGTGGAAGAAATTTTTCTAACGGGCATGCTAGTAAAAATTATTGTTCCGCTTCAAAACTCGCCTCGACGAAGAGGTCCCTTCATTTATAACATTCCTGTTCTGTCAGCATCTGATCGGAATATACATGACTTTCAAATTCAGTTAAATGTATATGTAATGAACTTACGTGTCGTATGTTAAATCGTTTTCATCATCGGGTGTGTTATCAAGAACATAAATGAATGATATTTGTTCTAGTTGACAGATGATTGGAGCAATGGCTTCAGCAGCTTCCTTAGAAGTAACCAATAAGATTCTTGTCTTTATTCGATCACCACCATCATCAAGATCGTTTGATGTTATATAATCAATACATTCGTTTCGATTAGAAAATGATTTCGAGTCCGAAAATAGATCCATATTTTTGTTTTCTACTGGTACTTCCAACCATATTAGAATTAGTCTGTATATATTGAATTCTGTTCGAAGTATTTGTTGAGCATTTTCAATATTCTGTAAACTGAACTTGTTGAAATCGAATAAAGTACTCATTTGCTAATTAAATTCGAGACGCATCAAACAGTTTACTTTTCTTCGATGACCTTGATGCACTCTAAGTTGAGACAAGTATTTGATTATATTCAATCATTTGAGAATGTTATTGTTTATTTTCAAAACAGTCTTATTAGAAATCATCTGTTACACTTGGAAGACTACCAGAAGAACTTATTATGACTGAAATTCTAATGAAAACAGATTACATGAATGGTTTATAACTATTAATTGTCATTTTGTGAAACACGATCTGAAAGGAGTGTTGAAGTATATAGAGTAGAAATTTGGACCCCCCACAGACCGTGACAGAGAAACTAATTAATTAGTTAATTATTAAATTTCCCTGTAACGTTCTGTGATGGTTTCTAGAGACTCCATACATCATCATCATACAGACCGTAATATCGAAGCTCCACAGACGATGACTGACCGTGATTGGTGGATTTCGGAAAAAGAGTTTCATCCTGTTTTAATCCCACAGGGATTGCGCTAACAGCTTTTTCTGACGAATCTTTATTTACTCAATTGATTATTGAAAACAATGAGATTATTATCTAATACTTTCGTTTAAGATTTCTTTTCATTGGAAGCGAATCCCAAAGTTGGTTGACATTCCATAGTAAATTGTTTTAAGTTATTTCAGGTAGTACTGTTGATTACAGGACTATATTTGAAATATGCAAGCATATTTTGTTTTTTCCTCAAGTGAAAGTCACGCGGAAATGAGTATTGACTAATTTTCAGTTTCGCTAGCAAAAAACGAATTGCCTCTCTCTCCGTCGTGTCTTATTCAATTTGACATACCTGTTTCACCGATAAACGAAGAACAAAATGAAAACAACTAGTCTATAGTTTCATCTTTTATTGCTTGAGAACAGGAAAAAAAATCAAGCAAATTTGTTATCTTTCTATTTTTTTATTGTTCGAAATTACAAGAAACAATTGCAAAATATACGCGATGTAATGTACTACAACAATTTGTGCGCATTTTGTGACACACTAAAGCAAAAAGAAAAGAGTTAAACACTCACATTACGATCTTGACTTATAACCAAATTGATGGGGGTAAACTAGTTAAATACATGAATGCACAATTGATAGTTTGTTCATCAAAGTTTGATGATTTTCGATCATATTTGACTCATGTAAATCATCGAACAAGCAATCAAATTCAAACGTTAAAAAAACTTTTCTTGATAGAAATAAATAACGAGAGATTCGTGAAATATCACAGCCACAGAGATATGAGTATCGACGAATGGATTGTGAACAAGAAAATAGATAAATGTCGATCGATTATATAAGATAAAAATTATTGATTGAGCTTGAAACTATTCAAATTTGATTTCCATCGGAGTTAAATGCATGATTTATCCGAAAGATTTCATCGTCTTAAAATAAAAATACAATTCTTATCACCCGAACGCATTTCTCTGGTTCAAATCTATCTCAATCGATCATCATTCAGAGAGAAAAATACAAAACAAGACAAGAATAACTGTAGAAATCTTCAAATTCGTAATGGCGGATGTTTAAGAATGTATGATAAAGGAGGAGAGAACATACACGTGATAGTAGATAATATGATAGAAATGTGTTGAGTCTCATCACATTTAACCGGCAGACAACAACCGGAATAAGTTATTTCGCCATGAGAGAAAGATTAAAATAAACGATAAAAATCATTTTGAATTGACGAACATGAAATTCATAGTCTAGTCTATTTAGCTGCAAATCTTGTATTAATGAAATGTGAAAATCTACTCTACTTCTAATATTTTACTCACTTAAAGTAATATCGATTTAATTTTTCCACAAGACAATTGCACAACTCATTTCAATACATCGTCTTATCATGACGACCTCGTCACGAATAAAAGGTGTGCGAAGTACCAACGTTTTCAGTCGACACTTGGTTATCTTTATTTTTATTTCTATTAAAGACACAACATATTCAACGTTGCGGTGAGATTCTAGATAAATCTTATATCGTTTTGTTGGTCAGTAATTTGCTATTATCACTAACATTCTTGGATGAAACTCAAGTAAATAAACTAATTCATCAATCATTTGTTTATTTTTATAATACAATTAAAAAGCAGTGAAGTGTATTTACACATAATATAACACCAATATTTTATTTTTCGTCTGTTGCTTGTTGCTCTGAACATTGCATTGCAACAATAACTTTTCTTCCTTCCAACAGTACAATGAACATAAAAGAAAGAGAAAAAAATGAATTGTAAATTTCTTCCATTCGCTGTAGTGTTGAAAATGACCTTTTGATAGAGGTCAACAGATTCACTGTTTTACAATTCTATTATCATTACTTTGTTTAGTGTTTTTATTTAATACAGATTACAAATGCACCCTGTGATATATTATACCATTATATTTGCTGCTGTAATTTCTACGTGTCACGGAACACCAATCAACTCGCCCAATAATTGCGGTTATGATGTAAGCGCCTTTTAAATAAAAAACAAAATCAGAGTTAGATCGAGTTTTTTCTCATACTATTTGAAGAATCGATTTAACTATGAGTAAATAATGTTAAATACAAGTCGTCGGTTAAAATACGCTGCCGTGTGAAAATTTTAGATCGAAAATATTTTTTTTTTGTGTCAACATTTTTACATCGGATGTGTCATTCGTAGGCATGCAACTTAGGTCAACCTGATAAACTCAATGTTCACATTGTTCCACACACTCACGATGATGTCGGTTGGCTCAAAACTGTAGATCAATACTATTATGGTGGTCAGTAAAACCTTTTCTGTTTTAAATTTCCAAACAAAAATTCTTTATTTCATTTCAGCTCGCAACGATATTCAACATGCTGCTGTTCAATTTATTCTCGATTCAGTGATTCAAGCACTACTTGAAAATCCTGATCGTCGTTTTATTTATGTTGAAATAGCTTTTTTCTGGCGTTGGTGGCTACAGCAAACTGAAGAAATGCAAAATACAGTCAGACAACTCGTTAATCAAGGTAAATGAATATCGTCTTGAGAAAACAATATTTCATATTTAATGAAACAAACAGGTCGGCTCGAATTTGTTTCGGGTGGATGGTCCATGAATGATGAAGGTGTAACACATTACAATTCAATAATTGATCAACATGGTTTAGGTGCTGAATTTTTACGCGATCAATTTGGAGAATGTGGTCGACCAAAACTTGGCTGGCAAATTGATCCATTTGGTCATTCGAGACAAGTAGCATCACTCTTTGCACACGTTAGTTAATTAAAATAAAGCATATTCTTCAATAAGGTATTATTTATAGATGGGTTTTGATGGATTATTTTTTGGACGAGTCGATTTACAAGATTATGCTGAACGAAACAAAACAAAACAAATGGAAATGATTTGGAAAGGAAGTTCTAATTTAGGCGAAGAAAGTTGGCTTTTTACCGGTATAATACCTAGAACTTATACTCCACCAGAATCATTCTGTTTTGATGTATTCTGTGATGATGAACCTATAAAAGTCAGTTGATAGTTATTTTTTTCACGTCATGATATTTGGTATTTATAGGATGATCCACAATTGCATGATTATAATGTACCAGAACGAGTTCAAGCATTTATGAATGCTGCACACGATCAAGTTTGCATTCTATTTATTTGAAGAAAAATGATTCACGCATATACATTTATAGGCGACAGGTTATGCTACAAATCATATAATGATGACAATGGGAAGTGATTTTCAATATGAAAATGCGAATCAATGGTATAAAAATTTGGATAAATTAATTAGATATGTTAATGCTCAGGTAATGCATAGTTAGTTAACACATGTATTTATACAACTGTAATGTAAATTCTATTTAGCAAGTCAATGGTAGTGATGTAAATATATTTTATTCCACTCCGACATGTTATTTATATGCGTTGAATAAAGTCAATCGAACTTGGACAACGAAAACAGATGATTTTTTTCCAGTTTCACTTAATCCACATGGAATTTTGACTGGTTATTTTACTTCACGACCAGCATTGAAACGGTATGAACGTTATTCAAATAATATTCTTCAAGTAACAAGACAACTTAATGCATTTTCCAATATTACACTACGTAATGCAATTTTTCCATTAAGTATAAATTAAAAAAAAGAAAAACAACAATTTCTTTCGTATAATTAAATATATAAATATACATAGGCGAAGCAATGGGTATTGCTCAACATCATGATGCAGTTAGTGGAACAGAAAAACAACATGTGGCCAATGATTATGCTCAACGATTATCACAAGGCATTGACTCAGCACTTGTACGAAAATTAATCTAACTAAAATACTTAATGAAGAATTTAATTTTCCGTCTAGTATGTTATTAATGAAGCTTATAAAAAATTATTATCGAAAGAAAATCGATCATTGCCAGTGCCAACTCAATATCTCTGTCAATTTTCAAATATTAGCGAATGTTTACCAATCGAAGGACAAGACAGTGTAAGTGAAATTAGTATGTTGTTTTACACAATTATATATCAATAAAATGTTCAACAGTTTACATTAACAATCTGGAATCCAACAATTCAGCCAATTGAGAATATAATTCGCGTACCAGTAACAAAGAAATATACAATTCAAAGTCCAACAGGTGAAACAATTGCAGCTGATGTAAGAATTATTCACAATTTCTTTCTTAAAATATTCTCAATTACTTAGTTTGTTTCTATTTCTCTACCAATAAAAAATATTCCTGGTCGAACTAGTTCTGCTCAATACGAGTTATTATTTGGAACACAGATACCAGCTCTTGGTTTTAATACTTATTATTTTGAAGCTAAAGGTTACAAAATAGCAGCTTTTAAAAGTTATTCTATGATCTATTTTTATTAGCTGATGCAACGATAGAGGAAAAATCTACAATAAGAGTAACACAGAATGAAGCGTGTGTACTTCAAAATGAAGTAATTAATTAATATATATATATATCAACAATATTATGTATTCTTCTTTATTTTACTACAGCATCTTCGACTTGAGTTTGATGATCGAGGAAATTTAAATAGTATTACTAATCGAGATAAAAATATTACATTGCCATTTTCTGCTCAAGGTCTCTATTGGTATACAAGTAAATATTTACTATAATTCCATAGATTAATCTAATTAGTTTATTGTTAATAATAGGTTTTCAGGGTAACAATTCTCTGCCTGAATTTCAATCATCAGGCGCTTATTTCTTTCGACCATTAACACCGAATCCATTGCCGGTGAGCAATTCACGTAATATGTAAGTACTCAAATACGGTTCTTCAGTAGAATATTTTAATACGAATTAGAACATGTACATACGCGGATCAAGTACAAAAAGCATTAATTATTTACAACGAATGGGCTTGCCAAGAGATTAGAATCTATGATGGAGCACGAATAACTGAAATTGAATGGATCGTGGGTCCAATACCAATTGAAGATGGTATTGGTAAAGAAATAATTGTGCGTTATGATACAGATATTCAAAGTGATGGAACTTTTTATACGGATGCTAATGGACGTGAAGTTCTTGAACGTAAAAGAGATTATCGACCGTCTTGGAATTATACTGTCTATGAAAGTGTTAGCGGAAATTATTATCCAATTCCAAGTCGTATCTGGATTAAAGATAATCAAAGACAATTAACAATACTTACAGGTATATAGAAAATCAATTTTTCGAATTTTGAATAAACATTTTGAATTTATTTCAGATAGATCTGAAGGTGGCTCAAGTATGCATGATGGTTCTATTGAACTTATGGTTCATCGTCGAACGCTTTATGATGATTCTCTAGGCGTCGGCGAGCCAATGAATGAAACTGCCTATGGGAAAGGTCTTGTTGTATGTGGCAAACATTTTCTTCTTCTCGAACCACCAGAATCAAGCGCTTTCTATCATCGTAATATTGCTCAACATCTTTTCATGAGTCCAATGGGTACTTATGCATTACCAAACGTTTCTTATGCGAATTATTCAAAAATTTATCGTCAAACGTGGTCAGCTTTGACTGAATCACTACCATATAATGTTCATTTATTAACATTTGATCAATCGTCATCAAAAGTATTTCTTGTACGAGTTGAGCATTATTTTGAATTAAATGAAGATGAAACATTTTCAAACGCAGTTCAGTTTGATTTACAAATATTATTTAATCGATTAGGCAGAATCGCCGAACTAGTCGAATTAACACTTGGAGGTAATTTACCATTGAATGAAATGAAACGACTTGTTTGGATAACAAATCATAATGAATCATCTCATTGGAAATCAACAGGTATGAAAAACAAGTCTATATATTGAATTAACACATTTGTTTTTGGTATTTTAGATCCGAATTTCCTAACGAGTACAGTCGTTACACTCAGTCCTATGGAAATTAAAACTTTTCAAGTCACATTACAATAAATAAGATATACGAACTTTGTTCACTTCTCTTCCTAATTAGCACAGCTTAGTTGTTAAGATGAACTCATGAAAATAAAATATAAGATACTGATTCAATATTGACTTAGCTTGAAAAAATTAAAGAAATGTTGAAATTATTTGTTACAATGTGATAGGAAAAATATCATTTCGCAATTTTAATAATCTATCGGGTATGAGGGTGTGAGTGTCGATATCGTATTGATGGATGAGTCTGAGTAAGGGCCATCGTCTTATCCATTATATACACTCACACTCACCCTAATTAATAGCTAATAATTACAAAGATTATTTTTTCAAAAATATTTATATCAAAAGGTGACCGGCTAAGTTCTGCAACAAATAATGTCCTTTTTTTTGGAAATGTTTTCTGTTCTTTCACAACGGCAAATTCGATAACATTCAAGTAGTGCCATAAAATTATTTTGAGCTGGACAAAAATATTTTTGGCATAAAAAATGAAACAGTTCGCCGTTTATGCTTTTGGTATAATAGATTTATAGGTCGTTACAAGAACTATCAAAGCCCCTATTTAGATGACCATTAGAAGCGGCCTATGATAAAGAAAAATGAACAACAAAAAGTGTCCTAAAATTCTGTTTTCCACTTTACGGTCAACGAAAACATAAATAGTGATTACATCGTTTTGTATATTAAATCGGTCAGAGGGCAAGAGTTGCATATTTTATTGTTTATTCTTTTCTTCGTTTCTGTCAATAACTACAAGTAGGTCTACACCGTTTGTTAATGTTGTTTTGTATTACAAGTAACAGAAAAATATTTGCGCAATTTTTATTCACTCATCGCATGACTCATATCTTTGAAAAAGAAAAAGAGAGAATTTCTAGATTTTTGTCTAAATTTCATCATCGTCAGAATCGAGTAATGAACTTGATGCTGCTTGTAGTAGTTCATTTTCGTGTTTTTGGATTAATTCTGGGTCCATATGTCGTTCGGGTGGCTAAAAAAATTGAACTATGCTGTAAAAACAACAATTTTAAACTATTTACAAACATACTCGCAATATAACCGGAGACGTGAATAGAAGAGTATCATTTTCACTTAGCTTTTGTGCTAACCACAGAAATGGCTTTTCCAGATTATAATTTGATAGTGCACTGATATCATAATATGGTATATTCTTTTTCCGATGAAATCTTATTGATTTAGCTTTCAATTTCCGATCTTTTAGATCAGCTTTATTTCCACATAAAACAATTGGAATATTGTCGCAAACACGAGCTAAATCTTTATACCACCTCGGAACATTTCTATAACTAATGCGTGACGTTAGATCGAACATAATTATAGCACATTGCCCGCCAATGTAATAACTATCACGTAAACCTATTATTGAAGAAACAATATAAGCAATCCGTGCGATAGTCACTATTTCAATAACTCACCGCCAAATTTTTCTTGACCTAGGGTATCACAAACATTAAAAGTAATTTCCCCGAAATTTGTATAAAATTTTAACTGATATACGGGGCTACCTTTTCCGTAGCGACATTTGTTTTCAATATCATATGTTAAATATCTGTTAACAAATGTTGTTTTACCTAAAAATATTCATTATCGTATACAGAACAACTTATAAAATTGAATTGAACATACCAACACCACCATCGCCGATTAAAATTAGTTTAAATTCCAGCACGTTGTTTTGACTTATTGCCATTGTTACGTTGTTAAAATGAAGAATATCTGCAAATGCGCAACAGTAAATGACATTCACATAAATCTAACATGTAATTTCTCAAGACGACATGAAAACAATTTTTTGATATTTCGTAATACTATGCAATTCTGTTCATTCGATTTTATTTATCGAAACTAGTTCCTTTGCGAACGGAAGCTGATTTAAAAAAATTGAGAAACATAAATCAAGTTGTGGATATAAGTTCGTTTTTGAATAACATCCGCATGTGCCGTTTACACCCATACGCTATACTCGAATAAAAATTAGCTTAGTGACACCGTGTGCTCAATTTGGAATAAATGTGATTGAAAGATCTCTTCCGAAATATAAGGCTGCAAATTCGAACGTACGAAGAGTAACTCCTTTTCGATGTTGTCCTGTCAATAGTGATACTCTCTCTGCACACGTGGTGTATGTTTTTTTTTAAATTTGTCCAGTCAGAAACAAAAAAGTATCCATTTTATCTTTCTATTTATACGTGCGTTTTGTGACAGAAGCAAAAAACGCTCCCAAGTGCTTTTTGAAATTGATGGCAAAGCAACGCTTATGGTAGTTTCTTCTCGTGACTAGCGAAGATATTGAAAGTAAAGATGAGTGTAATGCTACAAACGTATTTTACTGTTGCTGAATTTTATATTTCGACACTTCTAACATATATGAGTGCTTCGTAAGAAAGTCGAACAAGTAAGATGATGAAAATCATAAGCCGCATTGAAACAAAAATTTTCATATTTCTTGTTATCAATCTTCAGTCAAACCGAGCTTTTCGAAAAATGATTAAATCAGCATAGTTAAAGGAACGAAATTCACAGATTTTCATTTCACATAAAATATCTGGAAAGAAGATACCAAACAACATTTATCTTTCTACCATTTTAGAATATAAGCAAAGATGAATTTGGAATCGTTGTGCAATGAATTGTTACTCGATGTATACATGTGTCTTTCCACCGTTCATCTCTTTCGAGCATTTCATGGTCTTAATGCTCGCTTCAATACTCTTATCTTTAATCGCGTTCGAACCTATGGCCATATTGATTTTCGATCAGCATCCAGATAAAATTGTGATATTATTTATCAACAACATTTTCCAACGATTATCGATCAGATTACTTCACTTCGTCTTTCGAACGATGACGATACTCCACAACAAATTGAACGTTTTCTTTCACGTGGTTTCACTTTTTGTCATTTCATTCAATTACAATCGCTTTCATTATTCAGCATGTATTTACCGGACACAATGATGCAAATGATTGATGATCTTCGTCATCTTCCTAATCGTGTTCATCTGAATTTGGTCGAATGTTATCTGGGAGAAAGTCGATTAAGGTGTAAGGAGATGATGAATAGCTATCATTTCGAGTCTACCAAAACTGATTCGTTGTCATCTGGATATATTTTTTCACAAATATAGGCAATCATTTCCTCTAGTACACACTATCTCATCATCTCTTCAATATCTCTCTATCTCAAAACATATTTTTCTTTTGAATGAATTGAATAACTTCGTTCAACTTACTTCTAATCTTCGATTTTTACATGCAAATTCAATTGACGGTTTCATTACTCAGCTATTACCATCTCCGGTTCTTTCGATGGTTAAATTAAAAATTAGTTGCTTAGACTCACTAGAAACGTTAATGAATCTTTTACAAAATAGGCCCAATTTATTGAATCTGACAATTGAGACAGCATACATTGATCTAAATGGTTATAGATTCGAACAAATCATAACTAATTATTTACCTAAACTTAAAGTCTTACAGTTGAAAATTTACATTGAACTCGGTAACATTACAAATAAGGAACAACAAATCGACAACCTAATTAATTCATTTCGAAGTTCCTTTTGACTTGATAAACATCAATGGTCTGTTCGGTGTCATTTAGATTTCACATCTCAATCAAATACTATTCGGATCTATACATTGCCCTATACTTTTTTCGAATTTTAATGTAATCACCGACAACATCCTGATTAGATCAGCATGCCCTCAAGAAAGCGATTTTTATTCGTACGACTGTGTCAATAGATTTAGCTACAAATCTAGAATAATACGAGAATGTATATTTTCTCATATAAAATTTCTTGGCATTCATCATCTGATACTCGAGCATTGTCTCAATCCTTATTTTTGGTCTATTATATCCACACTCGGTCAGTTAGTCTCACTTGAAATCGTTTTATATGATGAATCAAACAAAACTATTCAAGATCAACTGCGAAATCGTCTCTGTCGGGCACCTCATCTTATCTCGTTAAAATTTCGAGCATGGTCAATCCTATCAGTTTTTCTCTATGAAATTAGGAACCAATCAATTCGTCGACTTGACTTACAAGGAACTGATCGATTGTATCGAGAGCTATGGCTCGATGACGACGAGTGCGCTCAACTCGGTCGTTCAACATTAGGAATACAATGTGAAGTTCTATTTAGTCGAGTTAAACATCGAGAAAGTATTTTTAACCTTGTAAATCTAATGAAGAATATTCGAGTGTTAAATTTCTTTTGCCGAGGTAATCGATTGGATGAATCTAATGGTTTATCATTAGCAAGGCACGATGAACTTGTCACGTGGTTTAAACACCAGCTTTCATTAGCATGGGGAATTGCAAAGCATCCACGCTATTCCCGCTGTATTCAAATGTGGATTCGTTGAACAGAGAGGCGTATACATATGTTCACTGCACATCTATACTCAAATCCACATGGACAACTACAACAAGAATAAAAATACCATCATTTCGTAGAACTTCACATTCTGCATCGAATGAAATATGCCATGTCAGAATAGACTAGAAAACGTTTTCAAATTAGTACTTCTTATACAGACCTGCTGTCATGAAGCGATTGCCTTCACATAATAAAACATTATTAATGCGATGCGAAGCAGAAGCATTTCTGTAGTCCGTCGTGAGTTTTTTTTTTTAATGCGATGCGAAGCAGAAGC